ATCAAAGTGCCTCAAAACCCTCTCTGTCCATAATCAAATTTGAACAACTTTACATTGTCAACTTTCTCCTTTTGCTCTCAACCTTTGTGGGCATGTTCTAAACCCTAAATGATGACACTACAGCAAGTGGTGCATCAAGGAGAATAGTTTTGCATGTCTAGATCTTGGAAAACACATTTATGTTGATTTCTAGGGTTTACAAAACTTGCATTGGAAACTTTGCCCAAATGGACTCAATCTTGGTGGAACCTATTATTATCTCATGCCATTTGACCCTGTCAAGCCTCATGACAAGAGGAGTTCATCTTCTTGCCCAAACCAGCAACAAACACCTTCTGACATTTTTCCAAAATCATCATTTTGACCCCTTCCACTATTCTCCTTGAGCTCAACTTTGTACCACAGCTGCTCCTGACCCCTCTTCTACCTCCAGTAACTATGGCAGCATCTCAACTCAATGATTGAGGGGTGAAACCACCTCATTTACCCCTCTGGACAGCCCATTTCCCCCTCTCTCTCAACCCCACTCCTCTCCTACTGGCTCTCCAGGGCACCCAATGCCCCTCCCCTCTTCTTTACTGCCCCCTAGGGCAGCCAGACATCAGTGGTCGTGCCCACAAGGCATATAAAATGCCATGGCATGCCATTTGCACGCTCCAGAGCGCGCTACAGTGCGGCCAGGCACTGTAGCCGCCCCCTGCCAACCACCTCCGGCCACCTCGGGCCTCCCCACCACCTCGGGCCTCCCCAGCGCGCCCGACGAGGTGCCTCGGCGTCTGCGTCACGCTAAACCCCTGTCCCCCTCCTCCTTCTCCCTCCTCTTGCCCCAGCTCGCACACGCGTCGGCCGCCCGAGCGCACCAGTGAGCACGCTCACACACGCGATGCCCCTGGCCCTCCTCCTGCTCTCTCTCTTCACCCGCTCGCTATGGACCAACCCACGAGCACCCCAGACACGCACAAACAGGCCCCCGTGACCCATGGCGACGGCAACGAGCTCGCCAACGCACGAGTCCACGGTGGACCATCGCGCGGCTATATAAAACCTCCCCGTGCCATTCTTCCCTCACCACTCACTCTCTGCACCACCCAATACACCCCCTACATCCCCAGTTCGTCTCCGGAGAGCTCGAGCTCCGCCGCTTCAGCTCGTCGGAGTTCGCGAGGTACAGGCCTCCACTGCCCCCGTTTGGCCTTGATCTGAAACCGCCGCGGTCCACTGACCCTTTCCCCTCTTCTTCCCGCTTCGTTTGCAGCCGGAAACGGCCGGAGCCGTCGACGCCCGAGGCTCCTCCGCCGCGTGATCTCGTCGCCGGCAAACCAGGCCACCCCAACGACCCCCTTCAGCTCCACCAGGTCGGCGACTCGACGCTGAGCACGCCGGTGCCATCCATTTGCCCTGCCATGCCGTGCAGCGACGCCGGTGAGCTCGCCTCCCTCTCTGGCCCAAGGTTGACGACGACGGCCGTGGGGCCCGTCGGTCAGCCTCACACTCTGACGGGTGGGCCCCACCAGTCAGGTTTAAAACGCACGCGCACGCGTACCAGTTCGCTGCGTCGGCTGAAGGCGTATTCGCCTTTACGCCTTCGACGTGGCGGCCTCGCGCGGGCTGAATTCCCTCTGGGCCCGCTGCGCTACGGTTGTTCTGGCCCAGCAGGCACAGTGCCCCTTCTCCTTTTTCTTTTCTGTTAATCTTCAAATAATTCCACAGGATGAAATATTTATCCAAATGCAATAATTCCAACTCCTAAAATCTTAGAATAATCCCACCTATTTATTGATGTAATTTTCATACACATCCATTACACTTTTCTGTACTGTTCAAATTTGAACAATAAAATCTCTGTTTGAAAATCCACTACTCTTGTCTCCCTAACTTCAAATCCAAAACTAGGAATTTTCCCCTTCTTAGTTTTCCTCCTAGTATTTTACAAAAATAAGTTGACATTTTTCTGAGCACTTTGACTTTTCTGTTTTTATTATTGTCTTATTTTTCCGTTATTTTCTTGCGACGATTAGATCCCGTATTTGACGAAGTTGCTGAAGAAGAAGAAAGAGAAGGATTTGAAGACCTTGAAGACCAAGCCAATCAAGGCAAGCAGCCCTTTGACCATGACACCCCCCTTGTTCATCGGTACCCGTTTTCCGATTGCATGATGATGAAATATGACGGTGGTAACTTGTTGTGAACCACCACATGGTGCATACCCCTACTCATGACTTTACCTTGTTCATAAATGCAATGTCAAGAGACTAGTTGATGCATAATGATGCATGTGTACCATGAACTCTTCGTGGTTACATTCTTTTGAAAACCTCATCGGGTGCCCCTAATACCCTTGGGAGATGTTGAACTAATGTCACCACTTGAGGAAGAAGTGGTGTACCGAAGAGAGCTTTGGTGTGTGTGTAAAATGATGGATTAGATTTATGTGTGATTACCGTCTCAACCAAACATGTGCAACCACTCTACCCCTTTATGGGATGGGGCATTATTGATTACTTAGGCTGATACTAGCATGGTGCCCACAATACTAGTGACGGGGGTGACTTGAGGTCACTCTCGGGACGGGGTCGTGCTTGGATAGGCGGCCATGACAGTTTTCACAGGGCACCGAACACACCGTTGGTCCCTTCGTGTATGTGTGATAATGTGAAAAGGGCAGAGTCCCACGATCTTTTGCTTATACACGAGGGCCGTGTATCAACGAGTGGACCCTATGTTAGTGTCGTCTAGGGAAAGGTAATGATCGGGTGCTTCCCCGGAGTACTTGAGGTACTGCGGGACCGTGGATGACACGAAAGCTTCCCGAATCTTGTGGGTAAAGTGCGCAACCTCTGCAGAGTGTCAAACTATTCAAAATGCCGTGTCCACGGTCATGGACAGTTGGGAAGTGCTACTTAAACTATGTCCAGAAATTTTACAATCTCGGTGCATGTGTGTGTGAAAGAGAACTGTTTGTGTCAAGGTGGTGACTTGACATGTTGAATGAAATGGCATTGATTCAAACTCTATTTATGTTGATGTCTGTAACCTGTTCTCAAGGTTACCCATGTTCATTGATGCATATCTCACAAGTTGATACGACATCTCAACCAGCTTGAAGCTAGGTTGCTTACTTGTTGTACAATTGCATTGTTACTTTGAACCAAATCATGGGTTGCTTGCGAGTACATTCAAAGTACTCATTGGCTTGCACTGGTTATTTAATTGACCAGGCATGGAAGAGCATGAGTTCGAGGAAGAGTTCTTTGGTGACGAACACGCGAACTAGGACGCTTCTCAGTCAGAATGCCTGTAGGGTTAAGGAAGATGGCATGGGTTCTACTTAATCGACGAAGATTTCCGCTGCTAATGTTTCATTTGATGTTCAGCCCTTAAGACTTTATCAATGTAAGACTTGACCATAATGGTCATAATTTGTGTAAGACGGTATGTATGGATGTAAGACTCTTGTTATTCAGCTTCTGTGTGTTCAGTGAGCATTGATCTCTGGGATCACTGTACACGTGCATTCGGTGATCTCGACTTATGAGTCGGGGTCCCCACACTGCTGCCGTAGCGCTGTGCTTCGCCGACTGAACTTGCTCTTGCTGAACCTTGCCCAAGGTGTCGAAGGAGAGGTTTACCTTCACCTGCACCTGATCCAGGCACTGAGACTGCTCCTCCAATTTCGCATCCAGCGCCTCCAATCGGTCGCAGATCTCCACCATCTTGGCCAATTTGCTCTGCTCTGCGCGTATCTCCGCGAATTCCTTCAACATGCGCACCTGGAATAACTCCATTTCGCGCGTGATGTGCTTCGTCTGGGCGCTGGGTTTGAACACCGTCGTGTCCTTCCTCTCTAAAGCAACCCACCTCAGGTCAGGGATTACACCGATCGAACCCTAGGGTGACCGGAGACCGTCGCCTCAGAATTTGCCGAGTATGCTCTCGAGATTAGCGGAAACGAGCCACGGATCGGTTGCTCTGATACCAGATTGTCACGCCCTTGCCTTTGGCCGAAGGAGGCTGCCGGATTTGGGGCTCGTCGCCGGCGAGGTTGGGCGGAGGAAGAAGATAAGCAGGTGGGAGAGATGCAGACGCAACCAGAGATAGAGAGATAGAGAGATAAGCTAGAATTCAAATTATCATTTCAACGATACCCCGAACGGCCCTCCTCTTCAGCTTATATGTTGTCCTCATTACACGCAGCCCAAGGCTCGCTAAACACACGCAAGCCCACACTGGAACCGCCTATCTATTCAAACTTCCCGCCACACCTTTACGCCTTCTTCTTCTGAATACGTCTTCCCCCTTGCTTGACACCTAATGATAGTAGCTCAATATTGACAGGTGTGCCTGTAGGGTTGAAGCTTGAGATTGGCCATGTCACCCACTTGGAATTGCCCGTCAGTTCTCTTCTTATCAGCAAAGTACTTCATTCTGTCTTGAGCTTTCAGCAATTTTTTCTTGATCACTTCCATTGCTAGCTCTCTGTTTTGTAATAAGTTCTCACTGTCCTCACAAATGGAGTCAGGTAGTGTAGACTCAGCTACCATGAGAGGTGGAAAACCATATAGAGCTTGAAATGGGGTCATTTTCAGGTAGGTATGAAAACTGGTGCTAAAATGGGGTCATTTTCAGATAGCCAGATTGCAGCAACACTACACACATACAAAATATTTGTTGTGCTTTTTCCCCTCTCAAGCACGTGGCGCAGCATTCCAGTACTCCTCGAAGCAATAGGCAGTCTTACCGGCTACATCCGTAACTAGTACTAGTAGTAAACCATGACTGCTCCCCCGTCAAAAAAAAAACATAGAGATGTCAAAATGACTTGCTCTGCTGCGCAACCACGCTCAGACCTCCATGGAAAGCATCTCCTATCCCTTCTCAAACCACCACATCTAAACCTAGAACGCAACATACATGACACGTCGTGAACACATAGCAGATCTAACCGTGTGAGGAGAACGCAAATTAGAACAGAGCAGAGAAGAGGGAGGCGGCGGACGCACCTGCTGCTGGGATTCGCCGTTGCAATCAAACATCCTCCTCCAGCTCAGGTAGCGGCGGCCGCGCCCGATTCGTGCTGTCTCCCGTGTGCCAGCGGTAGCATATCCAGACGGCTACGAACAAAAGAGAGAGAGGGAGAGGAAAATCCTCAAATTCGCAGACGGCCTCTTCGCCCCTCCCTGTCTTCTCTGCTCTCTCTCTCCCCCCAACCGAGACGAGAGGAGTCGAGTCCAGGGAGCGGCAGATGCGTGGTGGCCGGCAAATAGCCGAGCGGTGGGGTGGGGCTTGGACCGCCACGTATGCAGGCATCCGGGTAGTGGCGGAGAGAGCTCGATCAAATGCCGCGCTCCGATTGGCCCCGGGGGTTTACCACGATACGCTAATTTGGGATCCGGCTTGTCTGCTCCTGTCCGTGCTTCTATTTTATCCTACGGCTGTCTTTTTTTTTTCTTTTTTAATCTAATTATCTCCCTTCTGATTTTAAGGGGGTGGAGTTGGGCCTTATTTTGTTCCAATCAAATCAAATCACATACGCGGGAGCACGGATGGGCACACGCGCGGAGAGCAGGCAAGTCTCATCCGCTAATTTGGCCCGTGGATGTGCAAAATGTCCGCTATGAGCCCATATTTGTACCTATTTATTGGGACATATGGTCAGGGCGCTGGCAAATCCTAGACGGCGCCTGTTGCGTCCACAAGTGTGGGTGAATTGAACCCACGACTTCTTCGTTCTATTTAAGTCGCAGTAACCAACAGGACAATCAGATCGCATGTGTTCATTTACACCCTCTTCCTTCTTCTTTTTTCTTTTTTCCTTTTCTCTTTAATTTCTCTTTCTTTGTTAAATGCGTTAACTTTTTCAATTTCTTGATTTTTTTTCTAAATCCGATGGACCTTTTTCAAATTCATGAACTGTTTTTTTTTTGAAATCGATGAACTCTTTTTTCAAAATCGATGAACTCTTTTTGAAAATTGATGAACTCTTTTTTCAAATCGATGAACTGTTTTTTAAGATCGATGAACTCTTATTCAAAATTGATGAACTCTTTTTCGAAATCGATGAACTCTTTTTCGAAATCAATGCTCTTTTCCAAATTGATGATTTTTTTCAAAATCGGTGAACTCTTTTCAAAACCATTGAACTCTTTTCAAAACCGATGAACTTTTTTCCAAAATCAGTGAACTTCTTAGAAAAGTCGATGAACTTTCCTTCAAAATTCATGACTTCCTAAAAATAGATGATCTTGTTTTCAAATTTACCTTTTCTTTTTTCAAGAGAATTTATATTGGTTCTTACTAAAGAAAACGTTAAATGGGACGGTTTTATACAACTAGACAGAAGAACTAGATTGGTCTAGTGGTTAATGCATTAATCTGCGAATGGGGTGGTTCTCGGTTCGAATCTCAGCCATCTCATACCAATTTTTCAATTACGATTAGTTTCTTTATTGTTTCTTCACGTTTGCTTGATGAGTCTGTTGGTGGGCTGGCCCGCGCCGCGCCACTAGCGAGAGCCCGTATCGCCAGTCGACGCCTGAAGCGCTGGTTAGGAGCACCCCAGGGCATGATGTAGTTTGTGCAATGTAAGCTATAAGATTGTATCAAAAGTGCATGCTAACCGGCCGAAAAAGATCTTACCGGAGTTAATCTCTCCCGGGCAGTCCGTGTTTGTCCCTGGAAGGCTTATTACCAACAATATTATTGCGGCATTTGAGTGCCTGCATTTCATGAAGGATCGAGGAGTAAAAACAGATCCCAATGTGCCCTTAAAGTGGACATTGTGAAGGCATATGATCGGGTGGAGTGGGAATATTTGGAGGTTGTCATGTTGAAGATGGGCTTTGCTAGCAGTTGGGTCAGGAAAATGATGCTTTGTGTTAAGTCAGTGTCTTTTATTTTACTCGGGAATGGGCGCAAGCAGGAGGAGTTCAGGCCGTCGAGGGGGCTTAGGGTGATCCAATTTCACCCTACCTATTTTTACTCGCAGCGGAGGAGTTGTATTGTTTGTTGAAGGCAAGGTCCTCCAACGAAAATGTAAAGGGGGTGGTTGTAGCCTCATCGGCACCTGTTGTAAATCATTTATTGTTTGCCGACGGTTGTCTTCTTATGTTTCGGGCAAATGAGGAAAGATCCAATATCGTGAAAGATGTAATTCAGCAGTACTGCGATGCCTCGGGACAACAAGTAAATTTGGGAAAGTCAAGCATCTTCTTCGGTAAAGGTTGCCCGGCAGGAATGAGGAACATGATAAAGTCTATACTTGATGTGCAAATTGAGTCCCTCTCTGAAAAGTATCTGGGGTTGCCATCAGAAGTAGGGAGGTCAAAAAACAACTCCTTCAAATACATCAATGACAAACTATGGAGCCGTGTGCAGGGCTGGGTTGAGAATTGCTTAGCTGCTGCAGGCAAGGAGGTCTTGAGCAAGTCCACGGCTCAAGCAATCCCAACATTTTTGATGTCTTGCTTCCTCTTGCCTCGTGGTCTTCGTCAACAACTCGACGTGATGCTCCGTAAGTTTTGGTGGGGGAGTAAAAATGGACAACAGAAGGTTGCTTGGGTTTCATGGGAGGTGATGACGATGCTGAAATATATGGGAGGGTTGGGTTTCCGCGACACTCAGCTCTTTAACCCCGCGATGATTGCAAAGCAATCTTGGATAATCATGCAGGACACGTACTCTCTCAGTGCCAGAGTCCTCAAATCTGTGTATTTTCCGGACTGTGGCTTACTTGACGTCGAACTAGGAAACCACCCGTCTCAGGTGTGGAGGGCGATTTGTGAAGGGAGGATGGTGTTGAAGCGGGGCCTTGTTCGTTGAATTGGAAGTGGAAGGACGACTCGTTCATTAAAAAGGATTTTCACCGTTTCTAAATAAAAAAACTCTACAAGTTCATATTTAAATAACGAAGTGGTTCAATACTTATTACAAAACAAGGATATTCCCGTTACTAAAAGAAATAAACCTAGAAGTCCAAATTACAAAAATAAAGAAGTTCACTATTTATATAAAAACACAAATTTTCCTTGTTACTAAGGAATAAAAATGACGAAGTTCAAATTAAAAAAGAGGAGTAGTTCGATGTATACGGGAAACTCAAATTATTATTGTTTGTAAGAAAAATAAAACTATGAAGTTCAATTTAAAAAAATGTTTGATGCTTATTTAAAAACATATTTACTTTCTAAGAATATGACTAAGAAGTTGAAATTAAAATAATAGAGAAGTTCGAAGTATATAAAAAACTCAGATTTGTTGCAAGAATTTCACGTGCACCTCCGTGCATGGTTCGGAATTTATATTGCGGGTCGTCTGACCTCCAACTACATGTTTTAAAATGGCAAAAAATGACGTCCGACCTTCAATTGCGTGTAATTCAACGTATACACAAAAATGTGACAGAAGTTCATAGCGAAAACAACGAGAAGTTCAAATACTGCAAGGAATGTATTTCAAGTGAGAATAAAAGTATAGAAAAATAAAAGCTTAAAAGATTTGTTGAACGAAGTTCAAGTGCTCTGCCCAGGGAAGTTCAAAAAATCTTGCGAGAGAGGTTCACCTTGTATTTCCATGTTCAAAAAAAGAAATTGTTTTTTTGAATTTTAAAATAATTCTCTCAATCCACAAAGAAGTTCAGTTATTATTTGTGAGCAATTTGATTTCATAAAGGAAAGCAAAAATTCAAATTATAAAACCGGAAAATTTCATGTACTACATGGTGTGTGTTTATTATGAGAAAAATGAATAAGAAGGCAAGGTCCAAATTGTTTTATTGCTATAGGTTCAAGTCCTCGGTCAGAGAAAGTTGTCGGATTTCGAGTTCTGGCAAAACCCTTGAGGTTCGAACACTAGGGTGCGCACGAAGATTTCCCCCTACCGAATCACGCTCTCAGCCTCGCCGCGATCTCTAAGCTAGCTCGATGAACTCACAACACAAGAGACACAAGATTTATACAGGTTGGGGCTACCATTGTGGTGTAATACCCTACTCCTGTGTGGTGGTGGTGGATTGCCTCTTGGACTGATGATGAACAGTACAAGGGAAGAACAGCTTCCTGAGGAGAGGTGTTCTTGTGCTTGGCGAACTTGTGTGGATGAGGATGGTCTGGATGATCCGTCGTCTGTGTGTGTCCCTCTACTGTGGTGGGTGGCCCTATTTATAGAGGCCCTTGTCCTCGCCCCAAATATTGAGCGGGAAGGGATCCAACAACGGCCAATTTGAAAGGGGACAACCAGTACAAGCTATCCTGACTAAAGGTGGTCTTCGTCTGTCAAAGGTGTTGGTGGTGACGCCGTCTTGGGCTCCACGATGACCTCTGTCCTGCCGTCCTGCTGGTCTTGGTCTTATTGCATCGATATGGAAACCTTTGCCTGATGCCTCGGTACTCCGCGCCTGCGCTTGCCCCCTCAGCACCAGAGGGAAAACAAGGACACTGTGCGCGCTGGCGCCCGCCTGGCCTTGGTCATCATGGCTTGCATCACGGGAACCTCGCGAGGTTCCCCTTGCCTTGATCTCTCCGCCTCCTCACGAGCCTGCCTGGTGAGGCCATTCCTGAGGAGGCCTTGTGTCGTCCGCCCCGCGAGGCTTGGCCCCTCGCGAGGGTCTTGAGTGTTGGTTGATGAAGACGGGCCATGCTGGGCCACTAGTGGAGCCACGCTGTGGGCCGCACGCAGGCAAGTCTGGGGACCCCCGTCCCTAGAACGCCGACAGTAGCCCCCGGGCCCAAGGCGCGCTTGGACTTGGCTTAGCGGTGAAGCCAAAGGGCAAGTGTGGAGCGTCGCGGGCCCCAACAGCTTGCGGCTTGGTCGACGCGTGGCGACTGATTAGACGTGGGCATCTCCGCTTCCCCACGCTTCCTCGACAACTGCCCGACTTGACGAGTCCCTGCTGCATGCAAAAAGGGTTATCATTACCTGTGATCGTGGAAGTCGACGGTTGGCCTCCCTTGGGCTATAAATGAGGAGGGGCGAGAGCCCCCGTCGCACATCTCTTCCCATTCCGCTCGCTTTTCCTCCCTCGCTCTGTTGCTTGTAG